TGGTTGTCGAATGCCTGCAACAAACAATGGGTTAGTAACAAGAGAAAGAACGAGTATGAGACGCGCGCCCACCCTCCGCGACGGCTCACGAGAAAGTGAGGAAGCTAACGCTATTATGTATTAGGCGTAGGCAGGTTTGTTCGTGTTGAATTGTTTTTGTCGGCTTGAACGACCTTCCTCCTTGAACGACCCAACACCGCATGGTACAGCCAGGTACGGCCATAGTATACGGCGTACACGGCTAGGTCCATAAACTGTATGACGTAACGTCCTTGCGCATTGGACTGACGGAGAGCACCGATACCGCGGCACGCTCTACCGTACTCTCTCGCTCGCACATCTCCCCCCATAGACCCCTGAAATTTCTCTGCACGCATCACACCGACGGAGAGCACCGATGCCGCAGCTCGGTCTACCGCTCTCGCTCGAACGCCGTGACGTCATCACCCGATTCCCGGTATCCCGGGGCCACGAGACGGTAAGGCATTCCCGCAAGGGAAATTTTATGAATGGGAATAATATGAAAGTTCTTTACCTCTTCTTGAACATTCTAATTCCATAGCCCTAAATTGAGTTCCTGAAACTATTTCATTGAACTTGTGTAAAAGATTCATATATCTTGTCTGTACTTACGTTCGCGTGGTTGCCGTACAGATAACGGTGGCGCGGAAAACGAATTTCTACTGTATCTTCGGTCCATTGTCTGTGGTCTGTGCATTTTATCAGTAGAAGGTATAATTCTACATTCCTCCGTAAATATAGTAGAAATTTCAGAATATGGGTACACGAGCAATTTCTTGATTCGATTCCCAGTAAATTTCTATTATTATGTCTGTATTTCTGTTACCAGCATTTTCGTATGAGTATTTATGTATGAATTATGGAAGAATAACAGTTAGCCATTTGGAATCTGCTCTGTCTGTAGTGCTTCGGTCGCCATCCGCGGCATGTCGCTACTGCATTCGTTCTCGGGACGTCGCGCTGGTTACTAACGGTGTAGTTTCATGGCGCGTAAATCTTAAACTCGAGCCGTTCGTTAGTGAATAATAAGTTCGTGATGCGTGTTGTGACTCCGTGGAGATTGCTCTCTATTATCCAGTTAGTGTTTCACACGTACCTACTGTGTCATTTCGTGGACATTTCACGGAAATTAACTACGCTGGGTGTATAGTGTCATTCCGCCATGTTTGAAATTTCTAACGGTCATTTCTACTCGCTACACAGTTCGTTCAAGTTTATTTGAAACGACAGCGTGATACAGTGAAAGTGTAATGTATTTTCATAATTTATCATGGACACTTTGAAACACGGGTTGACTCCAAAATTACGGTGTACTTTATGCGGACCATGTGTCACGTACTGCTCGCTATTTCGTGTAAATGGAAACGTCGTAGTTGCGGTCGTTGTTGTTTCGGACTCCGTAGAATTCCAACATTTTGGACGGCTGCCCATCCTGGTACACAGAACACGTGACAGCAACGGTACGTACACTACACGATGCGTGACACATATAAATACTTCTAAACGATACGGAAATTTCGGTAAGCACTGTTCCACGCCTTGGTCAGATAGCGGTTACCATCTTGCTTCCGGCGTCTCAGCTGTCGCCATTTCCGGGCGAGTCGCTTTCTCGCGTCCGGAGCGACAGAATATTAGACTAGTGCATGCATTTATGTTGGATTTATTGAACTAATATAGCAATAGAAACTAATAAGTGATTGTTCGTGTAGTTATACATGGGTCAGTGAATACCAATTGTAAGTTGGTAGAAAATATAGGTATATAGGCCCATGTCTATTCATATTTCTGTAGCTGTATAGTGTCATTTATTTTATACACAACGTTCTGAATGTTATTTTCCAGAAAGTCTACTCTACATATGTGATGGCAATAAGGTTCAGTATTTTCTTTAATAATAATCTGAATAATATTAATTTTATTCTAATTATTCTAAGCACTCTTGGTATGTGCTTTTTATCACTTTAATTATCTTACTTAATGAGGTTTTGACATTAGATTATCATGTAGTATGATGAGGAGTACAATAATGTTAATTTTTACTTAAATACTAATACAGCAGTGTGCATCATAAATTCTCCTAATATGTTACTCTACAATTTACGCTAAATCAGTTAATATTCATCTTCAGACTGTGATGCTCGGGTTTGTTTAGATCCAAATTTATAAGACATTTCCATAACTCCTCAGCTTCCATTAACTAACTTAAGTTGAGATCTTTTACGATATTTTATACATTATACTACCTGTAAGATCTCTGTGTTTTGAAGAGGTTAGTTAGGAAATATTTCTAGTGAAAAAATAAATCAATTTCCAAATGAATCCAATCATCACTAGGGTGAAAAAAAGTCTACAAATTTCTAACTCAGTACATCAATTTTTTGTCTTAATCAAGCTTTCGAGCATTAATTACCCACTACAAAAAGAGGTTTACTTCACTTATGGTCTAAGCAACAGATCTATCTATCAAACGCGGACATTAACAATGCTCGTTTATATAATTACCAACGCGGGGTTAATTTTCTTCATCTCCTCGTTGCTTCCGTGATATCGAAAGGATGGTAACGCGATTCACCGGCCGCAAACAAATCCCCAGCACAGTTCCCCGGACTGACTGACAAAACATATTCGTGCGGGAACGGGTCGCGAATTGGCCCGAGATCGGTATTCTAACTCGGCCTCATCTATCGGTCAATCAATCTTCTCCATTCACTCGTTCATTCGCGTGGTTCGGCAATTCTCGAACGTGTCGCTGACCAAGATCGATATTTCCAAATTCTCGTCCGCGGTATATATCCACGACCGGGGTGGGTCTTTGATCCACATCGGTGCGCACTGCGGGACTGCGCCAGCAGGGATACGTGCTGGAATGAGTAATTCGTGGTTCGGCGGAGTT